CCCGGCCTGGAGAGGAGCCTCTTCCTCTTTCCAGCTGTGTCCCCCTAGGTAGACGATGCTGTACTCCAATGACATCTTGCCCTTCCCATCCTACTTCTTAGCCTCAGTCACTACGAGGCCTTATTTTTAACACTTTCAATCCTCTTAGTAGTAGATTAAGTAGATAAGTAGATTCTCATCCGTCTGCGGAGGGTGTGTGTCGGAAGGTGGGTTGGATGGAAAGATAAACCTTAACAAAGACATTGCCTTTTTAATATGTCTGGTTAATAAGCTTTTCGAGTTTTTGCAGATGCGTAGAGGAGGTGCCTTTCTTCTAGCTTAATCATTCAACAGGTTTTCTTAAGTACAAAGTGTAAGTAGAAGACAATCTTATTGACCTTAAAGGAGCGTGCAGTTTATTTGGGATGACTCAGAATTTAAAAAGACAACTGTGGTGAATCTGGTAGGCCTGTACATGGTTGAAAGTACTGTACATTGGTACAGCCTTTTAAGGAAATATTTTGGCAGTATTTACCCAGGACTGTACAAGTTTTTACACTCTGGTACTAATTGGAAATCAATTGTAAGAACAAGGTAATCTGGAGAAAAATACTGTCTGTAGGGATGTTTGTTTATTCATTGAATACTCACTTGTCATTTACCAAGTGCCAGGCCCTGTTCTAGGAAATGGGGACTCAACAGTGAACAAAACAGACGAAAATTGTTGCCTTCTTGGAATTTAAATTGTTGAGAAGACAGATAATAAATGAAAGAAATAAATAGATTATGTTACGCGGGGGCAAGTGCTGTAAAGCAAAATAAAGCTGAGAAGTGTTCATGAGCAAAGATTTGAAAGAGGCAAAGGAGTGACTATGCAAGAAATTCCAGGAGAGAGATGATTGAAAAACTAGAAATTACCTAAATATCCAAAGAAGAGAATGGCTAAACTAATAGTTCTTCATCAGCTTTTTTCAACGTAATGGAAACCTGAGAGCAAAAATCAAAGCACAAAATTGCATATAATCTGGTTGGAACTGTATGATATATGAGTGTATAATGGGCAACAGTTAGATATGGGGGTAATTATAGTTGTTTAGGCTGATGAGGTTTTTGTTTCACTCTTTAAAAAAATATGTTTTTGAACACAGAAGATTAACCCCGTGAGATAGAATTTTTATATCTGCCAAGTGAGTTTTGTAGATGATAAAGGTTATTTGGGGCTGAAATAGTAAGGTAAAGCTTCAGTGAATTGAATTCTAGACCTTCAAGAATGGAAGATTTTACAGTGGAAAAAATTTATAGAGGGGAAAATGGGTAATAAATGAAAAATCCTAATTCAGTTCTTCCCTTTAGTTATTTTAGTCTTTTTTTTTTTCCTGTTACTGGGAATTTAACACGGGACCTTGTGTTTGTGAGGCAGGTGGCGGCACCACTGAGCTAAATCTCCGCCCCTTCATTCATTTTGGATAAAGGACTTTCTATTCACTTTTGCAGTTGATTTGCTTATAAGAACATTTGGTCTCAAGATTCCTTCTGCTTGCCAGTTATATAGAAGCTTTTGATATGTTGAAGCAGAAGCCAGACATTTGGGGAAAAGAATTATTTTGAAATGCTTTTTTTTGGTACCGGGGATCAAACTCAGGACCTTGCACTTTCGAGGCAGGCAGTGGAATCACTGAGCTAAATCCCTGGCCCCTTGAAATGCTTTTATATGACAGAGTCTTAGTATTGAGCTCCTATATGCCATAGAGCTTTCAGTGATACAAATAGCCCACTGCAGCATGCCCATGCCATACGTTCGCCACCACTGCTCTATGGGAATGGTTCTCCTTGGCAGAAGGAAACCTATATTGTTGATTTCTTGGGAAACTCCAGATCAGCAGTGTTTATGGTATGTTTTTCATTAAAGCACTTTGCTGAAAAACTCAAGCAGTCTTTCATTGCTTTGTCTTATAATATTTAATACCCTCGATGCATCTAAAAACCTGATATAGGGGTCTCTTAATAATGTTATCTGTAGGGGGAGGAAGAAGAGTAGAGAGACTTTTCCCAGGGTACCTTGCAGTAAGATCTGTAATAGTCTGTTATTCTGAAGGACTGTCTGTCTCTTGGCTGGGTGATTGAAATTAAATTGGGGGCTCAAAGCAATCACAGCAAGCTGAGATGCCTTCATGGTGTTGCCATATTGCTCCCTTAGGGATACTCACAGATTGGGAATCTATAACACAGTGACTTCTCCACCTCTGGGGCTCCCCATCAATAACAGCTGAGATTTTATAGTACCTTTTTGTTTAAAGTACTCCACAAACTGATTTCCTTGCTACACACAGGAATCATTTGAGCTCTCCCGAAAGGCAGCAGGCTGTGTAGTGGAAAGTGACAGCTGTTTTACAGCTGCAAAGCAATGCACTACAGTATGACTTTGTTTTTGTTTTCTTTCACATTAGTGTATCTCCTAGTTATGGAGCTAAATAATAAAGGGAGAGAAAATAAACATGAGGGTGAAAACGTCACCCAGCAGGAAAATTAAGACCATTCTCAGTTGATGTTGAATTGGATGAGTAAATTTTAGCTTTTCAAGTTACAATTTGGCTGCAATATCAAGAGTTAGTGGTGATGCAGAAAGATATTTTTGTTACTTATAAATAATTCCTGAGGTTCATTTCTGTAGAATGTTAATAAAAATATATGGTCCACCAGCATATAAAGAGGATTATAATTTACTAGAGCTGTTTTTGAATTACCCTAAGTAAACCTATATTGGAGGAAAAAAATTCACTCTTCAGTAGCAACCAAGACTCACCTAGAACAGCTTAAGAGCCTTGACCTAGTCAATTTTGCTATCTCCTTGATTCTTTTTGCTCTAGGTTCTAGCTATAATCTGTGTTTTATGTTCATTGTGCTTTGTATATGTTAGGATTTGTAGGAGGTGTCCAAGAATATCTGCAACATATGTGACCTAACTGCTATTTTTATAACATCTTATCTTTAATGTGTTAAGATGGAAAGAACATAGATTTTGGGTTTAGACCTGGATTTCATTGTGAGCTCAGCATTTGTTAGTCACTTAAGATCTCTGAGCCTAAGTTGTCCTTTGTAAAGTGGAGTTCATTAAGTTAATCAGATTCATTTAAAGAAAAAATATGTGAAGGGTCGTTTAGTGCCCAAATGATTTCAAAAGCACTCAGTAAATACTGGTTTCCTTTTTTCTTTCTAGCTGTTTGGCACTATTTTTTTAAAAAACTCCAACTGGATATGATAGTACATGCCTGTAATCTCAGCACCAGGGAGGCTGAGGCAGGAGGCTCACTGTGAGTTTGAGGCCAGTCTGGAGCTACATAGTGAGTTCAAAGCCAGCCTGCAGTACAAAGCAATATCCTGTCTCAAAAAAAGAAAAAAAAAATCTAAAATATAGAATTTAGTGATATTCTTCTGTGGAGACAGGACAGCCTACAGAAAATTACTTGATTTGAGAATTGCTGTTCTAAAATATAATTAGCTATCAGACTCAAAAAACCTTACTGCATACTTTCATAATACATTATATTTTAGTAGTAGGGTTCAATTTATACCTTTGTTAATTTATAATTTTCTGTGAGGTAAATACAGCAGATACTATTGTTTCTACTTTATAGATGAGTCTCGGAACTTAAGTGGTTACCGAAGATTGTGCCCAGGTAGATAGAAGCCTAAAGCTTTCTCCCAGGATTTCTGCCACCCCCTCCCCACCTTGACTGTTCTTTTTGTTTTTATCTATAGTCACAATGATGTTGAAGTAGAATGGAAATTCTTTTGATAGAAGTATTATGAGTGTATGTATTTTCTGATTATCATTAATCAAATATTTGTTTTGTGCATAAGCATCGTGTTAAATATTGCATGTGTGTGTGTGTAAGATTGTAGTGCCAAATATAAGCCTTCTCCCCTAAATTTCCAGTTTACCTGGGACACAGGGCAGAAACATGGTAGTTAAATTAGAGTGCAGGGCGTGTCTGAGTGGCAACTGATCAAAGTAGTGGAGGAGAGACCGGAGACAGGAAAGGCAGGGGGACAATTAAAGTGGGTGATGACAGCTTCCAAGTGATGAAGGGAGGTGCCTAATACATATATGAAGGAAGAGTCTACGAGGTTTGGTGATTATGCTTGTAGAAAACCAAGGGACCAAAGGTGTTTCTGAAGTTTGAAACAGAGTGACTGGGAGAATGATAAGAAATAAGACCAAATTGGGAATCAGTAGGGTAGGGTAGCAGTGGGGTAGTTGATGTGTATGAAGGGGAGAGATAGAACAGTGTCTCAAAATCAGGTTCAGCATCTAGGGCAGTGGTGGTGAACCTATGGGATACTTGCCACAGTGGGCTGTTTGTATTATTGAAAGCTCTAAAAGGTTCACCACTATCACTGAACTAGGGCATTTAAGCAAATTGAAAAATTTAGGAGTGAGGCTAGGTCCAAGGAGAGAAGTTGATGAGTTGGCAGTAGCAATACAATTGCTAAAGTGAAATAGTTTGATAAGTTCTTTGAGAGTTTGGAGGATTGCACTTTAGGAACTATCTGGTGTTCAGGAAAGAATAAAAATTGATAACCAGACTATTGGAAAACTTTAAATATAGAGACTATGAAGAACTGACAAAGTTAGAGATTATCTCTTTGTTGTTTATAATAGAACATTAGGAGTTTAAAGAATCATCCCTAAGTACTATAGTAGGCATCATTCAAGGAGAACAATGTAGATTATTCTTGTTATATGTAGAGCCATTCCCCCCTCCCCCGCCGTGTAGGTTTCTATGTTTATTTTCAAGAACCAAGTTTGTGGTTTTAAGAGACTACCTTGTTCCGATCCTCACACCAGGGAGTAATATGCACAAATAATGTAGAGAAGAATAATGGACCAAAAGAATTGAGAAAATGGGAGTTTTTTGGGTGTTTTTTTTTAAAAGGAAACTGTCTCAGTCTGTTTCTGCTGCTATAACAAAATACCTTAGGCTGGGGAAATTAAAATAATAGAATTTTATTTCTTGCAGTCAGGGACGTCCAAGATCAAGGCTCCAAGCAGATTCTTTGGTAAGAATTACTTTTTTTTTTTCCAAGATGGCACCTTCTTGCTACATCCTCACATGGTAGATGGTCAAAAAATGTCAAATTCCCTCAAGCCTTTTAATAAAGGTACTAGTCTCATTCATGCCCTAACCACCTCTTAATGCTGTTGCATTGGGTAACAAGTTTCAACGTGAATTTTGGAGAGACACAAACATTGAAATCATGGGGGTCAAGGATCAAATCTTACTGTCATTTAAGACTGATAACTCTCTGAAAAACATTAAAAAACAATTTCCAATATCCTAGTTGTACTATGAAAATTTTCTTTTCTCCATTCTTGGACAGAATTTTTGTTTTGAGATAGGGTCTCACTATGTAGCCCAGACTGGCCTCGAACTCATGTCAGTCCTCCTGCCTCAGCCTTCTGAGTGCTGGGACTACAGGCACCACTATCCCTGGCCTCAGAAATTTTCTACTGTTTCAAAATTTTAGAATATACAGATGAGTGTTGAGATGAAAGAAATGAATACCCCATATTAAAACTATTGATTAGTGTCTTCCATTTTTGCTGAGAGTCAAAGGAGATCGTCATTTGAATCCACTACTGAATGTCCTGTCCTATTTCTGTCCTAGAGCACTTGGGTGTTTTTATCTATTTTTGTTAATCCCATAGGCATCTCCATGAGTTCCAGGTCTCTTCCTGCCAGTTTTAATGCTATTCTTTTTTTTTTTTGTATCTGGGATTGAACTCAGGTCCTTGCGCTTGCGCAGCAGGCCGTGGAACCACTGAGCTAAATCCCCAGCCCTTAATGCTGTTCTTTTAATTTTGTTCTTAGTTCAGAGAAAGATTTTTGTAATACATTTGTTGGTCTGGTTGCTTAGCAGCTTACTGTGATAATGTAGCTTGGAACAGATACATTAGCATTTGAAGGTCTTGGTCTCTGCCCCTGATTCAGGTATATATTGCATCCAAGCTTGGAATTAAAAATTTTTTTTCTTTTACAGCAATTATAACGTGTACAAATGAGTATTTCTGTAGCATTTATTTATTTATTTATTTATTTATTTATTTTACACTTGACAGCTTCATGGGATGACTTTTATTATTGATTGTGGTATATAAAGATGACTTATTTTGTAAAAAGTGAGCACAAACCACAACTTATTTTTGCCTCTTTCCATTTCTGGAATTTTCTAATGGCACATTTTTTGTAGGCTTCCCACTATTTCTGTAGCATGTAATAGAACTATCTTTATGTTTATATATCCCTTTGTCCTTTGTATTATTCTTTTTTTCCTTTCTTACCCTTGTAGCTATGGTACAATCTTAAAAGCACTGCAAAATCACTAAACATTCATAATAGAGTTCTGAAAACTTTATTTAGATGCATGAAATAATAACCTGGACCAGAATGCTGCCAGGAGTGGTTAGACAAACATATAGAATAGTCCTTTGCTGGTATTTCTAAGGACATTTAATTTTCAATGAAATTTGACTTTTTAATTCATTTCCTTGATAATTTTCCCAATATTTAGTAAATGTCTTTTTAAAAAAATATTATTTTATTGGTACATTTTAGGTATACAATATAATGACATTCATCATTGGAAATTTTCACCTTTACATAATGTCTCTTGGTTCTTATTTTCCCCCCTTCCCCTGCCCTCCCTTCAACCTCTCCATCCTTCCCTATTTACAAAGACTTTGTTTTCATTTTTTCATTCCATTCCCTTCTTTCCTTTCCCCTACCCCTCCCACTCTTCCCCCTCCCCTTTGCACTTTTCTTCCTATTTCACATTATCTATTATACCTTTTATTCCTTATTTACACTTTCAGTTTCTCACACTAGAGAAGCTATAGTAAATGTCTTTCTTGACTGCTAAATGAAAATCTTATTTCTTCAAAGTGTTCCCAGTTAAAGTCTTTTTGGAACAGAACTACCTATAAGGGCTGCATTTTTTAAATTTCATATCAGCAGGTCTTTTGGGGATACTACACCTGAAATTCACTATACAGAACACAGTCACAGTGATTTTTCATTTGCCCTTCTAACTGTGAAGGTGGTGTACTGTCTCTCTCTGATGCCAGAATGTGGTACAACATAATCCTTTTCTATATGTAGTATGAATTTATTAGATATAGTCCCTGCACACAGACCAGCAGAGAACCCTGCATTACAGAAATAATTCTTGTGCTGCTGAGCTGGCAATTTCCCTACTTAATCACTTGTGTGACATCATCTGTACCATTGGTAGGAAATGTGCTGACCACGTCCTGAGTTTTAAAAGGCAGTTGCGACAGGACATTGACCAAGAATGAAATTTGAAATAAACCTTGTAAGTTATAGTGTATGTCTTCAAACTCCAGTATTATTAAAGTGGCAAAATATTATATTAATCAATAAGTCTACCTTGGAGAACTACATTTTAGTTGGTCACCTTGCAATCAACTGATACATTCATTCCAAATTACCTTCCACCACTAGAGTGACTGCAGAGCATGGAGTGGGGGGAGAAGTAGGTAGGGAGGGGGTGTTATCCTCAAAGGTGGTTTTGTTGTTTTTGAATGAGTCCTAAACATTTTACTTCTGTTTTATAATAAAGATCACACAGAACATCAGTTGTTGGCTTGAAATTTTTTTTTTGGTGCCGGGGATCAAACTCGGGCCTTCCGCTTGCGAGGCAGGTGGCCGAACCACTGAGCTAAATCCCTGGCCCTGTGATTTTTATAATGGTATCTGCAAATGGAATGTTGGACTTTGATGACTGTACTAGATTGCTATTGAATCTTATGGGGAGAAGATAGGACCCCTAATGTGTATTTGATTTCTTGGCAGAAAGATGGATACTATGATGCTGAATTTGCGGAGTCTGTTTGAGCAGCTTGTACGCAGGGTGGAGATTCTCAGTGAAGGAAATGAACTCCGTAAGTCATTCTGAGCTGGTTTGTACAAAAAGAAAAAACAGATTTCAGATTTGGGTTTTCTACAAAGCTGAAGTATGTTTTAAAGTTGCATTTCATTTGATGGGCACTTATCCATGGTCAGAGCTCAATGGGTACTCATTCCAAATGGTCAATTTTTTTCTATAAAATTTTTTTGTATAGTTACTCTTAAATGGATTTTATCCAGACTTTTTTCATTATCAAGGTTCTCTTCCCACTGAAATAGTTGGCATTAGTTGCCAATTTCACCTTTGTACCACAAACAGGGAATAATCTGGTTTTCTAAGGATAATACTTTTTTTTAGAATAATAGTTGCATATATAGATGTATATATATCTATATATGTATACTTATATGTATTTTTAAAAATCTTGGCCTTTCTCTGTTTTGTAAAACATTTTCAGTTAGGAAAAAAGTCATAATTCCTTTTTTAAGGAGGGACTAGGCATTACTTTTACCTATTTTTTATATTTGATGCATGGTAATAAAGGATTGAGTTGGTGTGGAGAACTGGGGAGAAAAAGGTGTTGACAGAGGGAACAATCTGGAAAGTAAATTAGCAAGAAAAGGAAATGGGGTTAATAGCTCTGACGTTATATGATCAAAGGGAATTATTCTATGCCACCTTCTATCTCACAGGTTTAGTATTATGTTTAGTATTATTTAGTAAATGTTGCTCTCAAGTCAGCCTCATTCATACAGAAGTAATGCAGGAACTGTGTCTTGAACTTTTCTTTATCTCGGTAGTACTTAGTATAGCTTCTTGCTTATGCCTTTCAATATTTTCTTTAAATTGATGGATGCTTTTAATAGCTCCTATCCACTTACAGTCCTTTCAGAACAGTATTCTATTTTCTCTCTCTAATAGCTGCTGCATGACCCTGTCAGCTGGTACCAGCCCAGTAACCACAATGGCATACTAATCAGGCTTTTCTTTGAGGTCACATCATCTTGGAAGATGGATTACTTTTCATTCTAGTGGGAAAGATATGGAATAAGATCTTAAAACTCAGGTTCATTCAGCAAATATTTTGTGAAAATCTAGCAAAGCTTCTAGTACATGATGTGTTGAGGGAAAGGGACAACTAAATGGCTTCATGGAGGAAAACAGGGTTTGAGTTGAGCCTTAGATGTAGGTAGTATCCTAACAGGCAAAGATAAAACGTCATTTTAGGTCAAGCAACAGCCAGTGTGGAGGCAAGAGGGTTTGAAGGGAATGGGAGTAAGGGCGTGTGACATAATTAGAAATGTGCTTTGGGAAGATTAGCCTGGGAGAGAGGGTGTAGGCTGCATTAGAGATGGAGGTTGGGAGTCTGACTAGGAAGGAGATGGTTGCCATAGCTCAGGAAAGAGTCAGTAAGAGGAATTCCATTCCTAACTAAATAATGCTTTTGGAATGGTGCTTATGAAGATGGAAAAGAGGGAAAATGGGTAGAAGAGATGATGGTCATAAGACCTCTGGGAGGAGATAGCTGAGAGCATGTTGGGGGCAGAGTGAAGAATCTGAGGTTTAGAGTCTTGGTAACAACTGCTGGCTGTAAAATAGGAGTTGAAATAAATGTCTTTATTTTCTTTATGGAAATGCTGTGAGGACTTGTGAGTAAATTGAGATAGATACTAGTAGTAAAAATACTTTCAGAAGTGATCATGTCCGCCAAAACAAAACAAATCCAACATACCCTTAAACAAGATAATTATTTTTACAGATATCTTTATTATATAAATAGATTTCTAGTTTCTCATTGATAACTATTTTATAGTAGAGAGCCCCCCCACACCCCCAATTTCTAACTTGGAATGCTGGCTTTTGAGAAATTATTTTTTAGACTTTAGAATCTTCTTTGTGCAGCTACTCCAGTATCCTTCCAATTCTCCTCCCCTCATTATCTCCTGACTCCTTACTCTTGTTTTTCTTCAGAACTTCATTCCTTTCTTTTTTTGTTTGGTTTTTCTAAAACCTAAGTCTAAGGTTATTGAAAAATGAAAGTTAATATTCAAATAAAATGACTTTAATAGCCTGAGTATTTTGTTATTCACCCCCTCCTCATCTACATGGTATTTGTTTTCTAATTTTTGCAATGCTGGGGATTGAATCCAGGGCCTTGCATATGTTAAGCAAGTGCTCTAACATCGAACTATATCCCCAGTTGTTTTTAAAATTTTATTTTGAGGTAGGGACTCACTAAATTTCCCAGGCTGAATTCAGACTTGCCTATTGTCCTGCCTCATGGAATAGAAGAAGTCACAGGTGTATACCACCCAGCCTGGCTATCTTCTACTTTATTTTGTTAAAAGCTACCCAAATCTTTCTGGTATCATTGGTGTATAAATTAGGAATGGGTATAACTTAATATTTAGCAGGTGCCTATTGTGTGCCAGTGACATACAGTACAAGGTTTGTGTTATACAGTGTTGTATTAGGAGATACATTGTAAAGCATATGTGGTATGATGCTGTTTTCAAGAAAATTATGGTATTTTAGTTTCAGAGATAGGATTTTCTTCTCATGAAACAAGATAGTCTCATTATCAAAATAAATACTTTTGACAAGTTTAGAAAGATTTAATGGGGAGCAAAGTGATTAGAAAAGTATACATGGAGTAGATGGGACTTGAAAATGGGTATGTAAAGAGAAATGCATAGCTTGGTCACAAGTGAGAAGGCAGAAATAAATATGGGCCTGTTCTAGGGGCAGGGACTGATAGGTTTAGCTAGAGAAGGTATTTATTGTGTAGTAGTGGGAGGTAAGTTTGATTAGACTGGTAAGGTAGGCTTGGGTGCCTGGAGTTTAAATTTGTTCTGAAGAGCAGTTCTTCATGAAACAGATAGTTGAGTACCTATATGTGCTAGGTATGGTGCCATATAATGCAAGGCACTGGAGATAAAAGAGCAAAAAGACAGTCCTTGCCCTTAAGTTCAGAGGGTAGTGAGAAAGACAAAGGGAAGAGATTGTCCAAAGATGTGGGGCCGGGGGTAAGATGGGGGTGGGGGGCGGTGTTGGAAAAAAAATCGAGTGTTCTAGAACCACTTACATCTGCTTGCTGAACTATGAACCAAATCCTGACTTTTTAAAATGAATCATAGGCTGGGGATTTAGCTCAGTGGTTCCGCCACTGCCTGCCTCGCAAGTGCAAGGACCCGAGTTCGATCCCTGGTACCAAAAAATAAAATAAAATGAAATGAATCATAGATTGGTCCAGGGATTTAGCTCAGTGGCACCCTGCCTCTCAAGTGCAAGGTCCTGAGTTCAATCCCTGGAACCAAAAAAAAAAAAAGAATCATAGATTATCCTCAATTTGTTCTAATGAAATTTCTCTTTTATTTGTATGTAGGGTAGGGGTGGGAAACTCAACCCAGGGCCTTTGCACTGAGCCAACCTGTTTTTTTGTTGTTTGTTTTTTGTTTTTGGTACCGGGGATCCAACTCGGGTCCTTGTACTTGCGAGGCAGGTGGTGGCAGAACCACTGAGCTAAATCCCTGGCCCTGGCCAGTCAGTTATTTTTTTAAAAAAGTTTTTAATTTTAAGACAAGATCTCACTAATTTGGTAAATTGTCTAGGCTTAGCTTGAACTTGAGATCTTCCTGCCTCAGTTTCCTAGAGTACTAAAATTATGTGTGCACCACCCTGTCTGGCTTCTTCTTTTTTGATATATGCCTGGCTCTTTTTGATAGATGAACTTCATAGTTTATTATGCATATAAATTTTTAAAGCAGGGACTCTGAATTTAATAAATGCTTTCAATGTGTGCTTCATAATGAGCTCGTACCAGGCTGAATTGTGATTCATAAATGGATCAAAAATTACCAAATTTTAGCCAAATACCAAATTTATTGATTTCTGAAATCAAAATTTTTTTCTGGTCTGTGGTCCATAGTGCCTTTTGACTCAATTCTAGCAAGTTTTGCTCACAGCAGAATTGTAGCTAAAAGGAATATCTTAAATCAGGCATGCAGATGTTCTGGATGGAATCTAATTTAAACCAAGCTGACCCAGTAATTTATATTTTGTACTATTAAAATAAGAATTTGTTCTTTGAAATTAGAAAAAAAATGTTAAGAGCTTCTTACTTGGCCATGTTCACTGTGACAATAAAGAACAGAAGCACACTTTTCAACTGTACGGTCTTAATTTTCTAGCTCCTTCCTCGAAATGAACTGATGTTTGGTTTAGCTTCTGTCTTTATTTAATTCAGTTATACCTTTAATATGCCAATTAGTAGTTAGTAGGAATAAAAGTCCAAACTTAATAAGACTTATCAAGAGGAAGTATCATAAAAAACAAAGCAAAAGTAGGTTGAATGAAAATTTTTTCATTCTCAGATTGTTTTTTATTTCAGTAAATATTTGACCATGTATCTAATACTTATTTAGAAATACCATGTCACTGACCACAATGTGGAGCTAGGAAAGTTTTAGACTGTAGTTGAAAAGTGTTTTTCTTGTCCTTTATTTTTTGAAATTGAAGCAGTACATACATCACCAACATCCACAAGTCATAAGTGTACTGCTTGGTAAATTATCACAGTAAATGGCCAAGTAAGAAGCTCTTGTTTACATTTTCTTTTGGTATGAATCTAAAATACTGAATAGTTAAATTTGCAAAAGGATATATTGATATTTTTGCTTAAAAATAAAAAAGTAACATTTCAGATTAACTAAACTAGCATATTGTTTATAACTCTTTGCATGGTAGTACTTTATTTTTTGGCTCATGATATTTGCATTGTATAAGATAACTAGGTCATAACACCTTATTTTACTAAAATTTGTTTGCTAAAAATTAAAGTTTTATGACTTAGTTTCTTTAGAATGAATTGGCATCCTAATTTACAACTTTCAAACTTAGTGAAGTTTTAAAAATTTCTGAAAACATCATATTGTTTCTTAGGTTAAATTCAAGTAGGGAAAGTGCCCTTGGTACCTAGAAATTGGCTAGCTTTGTGTGAATGTGGCCCAATTTCAGCTATAAACTAGGTGAGCTTGACCAGCAGCAATGTATAACTTGGAACCTTTTTCCGTTTTGTTGATGGAAAGTGGTGGTTAAAGATAGATTGAGGTTAACTAGAAAACTGTAAGGGACTTTTGCAAATGCATTATAGAAGGACCATCTTCACCAATAGCAGATGTTAAGAATAGATCCCACCAGCATTATCTAGCTCTGAGGTGCTGCCTTGGAAGCAGTGCTGTCTTTGCAGTCATTTGAAGAGAGTCCACATTCTGCTATCAGTGACTTTCAAAGAGCTAGTAGGATCTTCCCTGCTGTTTTTTCAACTGAAATGTTTACATACCCTTCAGGGAGGGCAGTGTTAAACAGCAAAAGCAAATTGGCTCTTTACTTTCAAATCAATGTTTGTATAATTATATAGCTGAATGGAATTGCAGGCTTAGACATCTGTAGATTAATCTATATCTACTGAAGCATATTATGACAGTTACATTTGAATTTGCTGTTTAACATCTCTGGTGCAATAACACATGACCTCAGAGGAGGCTGTTTTTGTTTTATAGCTGTAACTGTCCTGGTGCATGACAGCTGCCCCAAAGGTATCCTCCTTTGATTACCTTCTGTTCAGGAGCTTTCAGTGTTGATGTTACATCTGGAGCCAGGTGACTAATGAGTTGCATATTCCATAGCAGATGCCACTGGCTAAACCAAAAGTAAGTGGCCTCTTTGAATCAGGAATTCCTCCCCACAAAGCTCTTGTCTAGAGTAACAAATGTACTCCTGATTATTTTCAGCTGGGTTTGCCAATAGTTACTCTGGTCCCTTTATTATGTATTTGGAGTAAAAGTAACTATAGCACCCATCTGTTTGAGCTGTTATACTGTAATACTGAGTTATTAAAGCTTTCACCTTTCCTCAGAATTCATCCAATTGGCAAAGGACTTTGAGGATTTCCGTAAGAAGTGGCAGAGAACAGACCGTGAGCTGGGGAAATTCAAGGATCTTTTGATGAAAGCGGAGACTGAGCGTAGCGCTCTGGATGTTAAGCTGAAGCATGCACGTAATCAAGTGGATGTAGAGATCAAACGGAGACAGCGAGCTGAGGCTGACTGTGAGAAGCTGGTGTGTATTGCTTTTCTCTGCTAGCACAGTGGTGGTGGTGGGGGGGGAAGGGATGCATCATCTGATAATGTTTCCACTTGCCAAATACACCCAGTTTTTTCTTCCACATGAAAGATTTAAAAGCAGCCTGTCCTTTGACTGGAGCTGAAATTGCAGGCTATGACTTTGCTGTTTATAGGTTGAAATTAAAATTTATTTTCTTTTTTTCAATTCTTTTTATATTCTCGATAGTAGTCCTTTGTCTGAGGTACAGCTGCTAAAATTTTTTTCCCACATTGTAGTTTGTCTGTTAGTGCTAAAATTTATTTTCTTTAGACTTGAAAGTATTACTCAACAGATTTCAGATGAGAATTTAAAGAATTAAAATGAGGAGGAAAGCAGGGAAATTCTCGTGTTCTTGATCTGTCACAACTTACTGGCCATAAGTGCTACCCAGAATATGTTCATCCTTGTATGAATAATAGTCCTTTGATATTGACGCAGGTAAGGCAGCTGTTACTCTTCTGTTCATCACTGCTGTCTAATTCAGGGTAAAGGGCTGGATGTATTCAACTTGTTGAGGAGTGTGATTGGCGTAGAGCATTATCATTTTGCTGTGCTAGGTGGTTCATGGTGCAAAGGAAAACGTTTGCTAGGAGGAACTAATTGATTTTGGTTCTATGTTAGATGCTTCAGTAAGCTCATATTGTCTGGTTTCTGTGTGTAACAGCTTTGTATCCATTTTAATGCATTTTTCTCCACCACTTAGAAAGGTGAGTGATTGCTTTGATCCACAGAAGAAACCAATAATTGTCCTGATGAAAATGACACTAAAGTGTTTTTGCTATGTGAAATCTATTTTGGGACCCTCATTGTGTGTTACTTTCCTCTTAGATTAGCAATTTGATCCAAAAATCCTGTAGCAGAAGCCCCTCTATTCTACAGTTCATTTTACCAGTCAGAAATTAGACTCACAGTCTGAGCTTGATGTGAATTAATATGCTATTGGTGTAGCTGCCTTCCTGAAGGCCCATTTACATAATGCTATATTTTAATGTCTTCTGGTCTGCCTGCCCCATAAATTTGAGGTGAAGCTTTCTTCTCTGGCTAGTTACAATGTTTTACTCTGTTTTGGTCTGTAGGAACGACAGATTCAGCTGATTCGAGAGATGCTCATGTGTGACACATCTGGCAGTATTCAACTAAGCGAGGAGCAAAAATCAGCTCTGGCTTTTCTCAACAGAGGCCAACCATCCAGTGGCAATGCTGGGAACAAAAGGTGGGGGGACTGCATCTGTTATCTGCTCACAAGCAACATAGCTGTCAGAAGTTCCTGTTATCTGAGCTCTGAAATATACTGCTTTTGGAATGTGTGCTGAAGAAAGCAGAAAAAGACTGGGGGAAGGGTGGTGAGGAATAAAGGCACAGAGACTTCCTTATTTGTTTTCTTTTTATCTCTACTTTTAGGAAAATTTTTCACCATAGGTGAAATTCTGATGTTGGTGCTAAATTGCACATCAATAACTAATCCCGCACATTGTTAAGAAACCTAAAGGTGAAAGTGGCAGTTCAGCAATACTTTCACTGTTTACTCTCCAGAGAGCTCTCGTAGCTTTTCTAGTTTAGAAAGGCTGCTGTGAGCCAGGACGAGACAGTAATTTTGGTTCCATGGTATCACTATTTAAAATAGTCTCAGTCAGGCTTTGAATTTAACACTCCTGGTACAATAAGTAGGGAAAGGTCAGCACTCTTAGAGCTGTTTGTTTTGTTGCCTGGTTTTATGGAGAATCTTTACAACTGAGAAGATGTATGGGCTTAATTTCTGAGAAAACCAGTGCTGGGTAATATTATCATAGAAAGTAGCCACAGTGGGGTCAAATTAAATTTCACTTTTCCATATCCCTGGCTGTAAATTTCACTAGTTTTAAGCCCTTTGCTGAAAAAGCAACCACACTGTACCTGTACTTGTGCACACATACACACTATCCATGAAAACCTTAAAAAGTGACCCAAACCACAGCTAGGGTTTAAAGTTCTAGTTCTCTGCATAGAGAAGCTATGGCTATGAAATTGCTCATGTTACCTCACAATGGTACTTGTTTTGAATGTTGGCAGGTTTTTGTTCTGTAGTTTCCTGTGTCTAATATTACGTTGTTTCATTCTTCTAGACTGTCAACCATTGATGAATCTGGTTCCATTTTGTCAGATATCAGCTTTGATAAGACTGATGAATCTCTGGTAATAAACATTTGATCTCAGATCTATCTATTTTTCTTAACCCTGCTCTCTTAGGTGCATGTCTCCTGTTCTTTATTTTGGACACCTCTACCTATTATTGTTGCTTTATTAGTTGATATGTTACAGATACTGACTAGTAATTTAAAATATAAATCCACATACACTATAAGAGATTGGCTTGTGGTATTTGTTTAGTTTCTGGAAGTATAAATGTAGAGTTCAGGATTTGACATGAGGTTGAGTTTATTTAAAGGATCTCTATGAACTGCATGTACTAATTGATTATATCTTGACTTATTAAAGCCCCAGCCAGCAATAAAAAATTAGCAAAATTATATCTAGGCAGGGTTTATTTGCTGCTCTTGGGGTGAATAGACTTGTACTTTATTTCTGAATTTGTTTGGTTCTTGAGAAAAGCTTAGCCACACTTCGTAATTAAGAGGAAACCAAGTTCCTGGAGCTTCAGTTGAAAGAGTGTGATAAGAATTTCTAGGCAGTGTATGTAATGCTTTGATCAACAATTGTTAACATGTCTAAAACTCTTTGTTACCCTGCTTTTATGAGGCAGTACCCTTCTGTGATGGTGGTGTTTCTGCATAAAAGGTCATCTGGTATTTTAATTTTTGATATTCAGGGGATTGGTGGTTTATTGGTTGGTATATCTTTTCTGTTGCTGACTGAAACCTAGCAAACAAAAACAATAAATCAGAGGAGGTTATTAATGGTTGGTTTTCTGACATAGCAAAACAAATGACAACTAATTGTTACATAGCTAGGAGGTTTTTTTTCGTGCCGGGGATCGAACTCAGGACCTTGCGCTTGCGAGGCAGGCACCGGAAACACTGAGCTAAATCCCCGGGCCTAATTGTTACATAACTAGGAGTTTCCTATTCAAATTTAGCGTTTGACTAGGGAAAAAAATGACCCTTTTATAAATATTTATTAGGCAGCCCCTTTTGAGAGCTTGTTTGGCGGTTCTAGCAGGGTAGCACAGTTACATATACCCTTGACCAAGGAAACAGTCCTCCACTATTGGGGAGTGGTTGTCCTCTTTGACTAAGCACACAGCTTTGACCAAGTGCACAGCTTTGCAGCTTCAGCTTCGGGAAGGATGCACATGTGAGGAAGCAGAGGGACACCTGCCTAGCCAGCCAGATCAACTGAATCAACCCTGGTGATCAATGGGATGACGGATGTCGCAGCCAGATTACCCTCACATCCAGCAGTCCCTTTTTGAAATAAGGAATGTTATAGAATAGGTTTGGGATACCTAATATAACAAGAACATATTAGCAGCTGGTTTTTGAGCTAGACCTAGGCTATGATACCTGTTATAACTGAAGCAGAATCAAACAACCAGGAGCTAAATTACTTGACCTTGAATTGGAGAAGTAAAATTAATTTAGCTGAGCTGCTATTTGCAGTATGCAACTGTTTCTAGATACTGTGTTTTCATTAACAATCAGGAGTAAGGAAATCACTGATAGATAGCTAAAATGAATACCAATGGTTAAGATAAGTGAATTGAAACTAGACTGCAGTAAAAGATAAATGATTCTTTTGTTTTTTGCTTTTTTGGGGATTTTTGGTACAGAGGATGGAACTTGGGACTTTGTGCTTGCAAGACAGGTGGCAGAACCACTGAACTAAATCCCCGGCCCAAAAGATAAATGATTCTTCAGTGGTGAACCTCTTTTTTTAGGCTCCAAAGAAGAGGGATGATTGAGAGATGTAAAACCCAAACTTCAACATTTAAAATGGCAATATTAAAAAAAATAAATAAAATGGCAGTATTGTATAGAACATCTTATTAGACGGTAGCAGTCCCTTAAGGGCAAGAATCACATCTACCATGATCAGTATAGTGCCTAACATTCTGTGAGTTCTAAAACTAATTACAAAAATAATCAGAAATAAAGGACCAGGCACCAGAAATAATCACGATAGAAGTTGATTCTTTAACCTTTTCTTGCCTCTGTAGTATTGATTCCTGATTCTATTATAATAGCTTCAATTTTTGAAAGAAAGCATGTTAACTTGCTATAGACCTATAGCTACAACACAAGAGACCTTCTCTATCTCTCTCCTCAAATTGCAAGTTAAGTATTCTGACTCAAGAAACCTTGAAAGTTTACTAAATTTATTTGCATGGGGCTTGTGGGAGGGTTACCCAAAGAAAGAAATTAATAAAATATAATTGTCAACAGGATTGGGATTCTTCTTTTGTGAAGAACTTAAAACTGAAGAAAAGACAAAAAAGGGTATGTGTGGTTTGTTTTGCTTTTTTTTTTGGTACTGGGGATTGAACTCAGGACCTTATGCTTTTGAGGCAGGCGGCAGAACCACTGAGCTAAATCCCCAGCCCCACTTTTTTTAAACAAAGTAACAACAAAACTTTCTTTGGAAAATTTGCCATGATACTGTATTCCTACATGCTGCTCTAGCCACTGTTAAACACATATACGCGAATTCATGCTGTAGGGGTGATATTAATATTCCTATAGTGATTTGGGACAGGATTCTGTCCTTATTTCATTGGTTTGGGCTGCATCTCAGTTCATCTCAATTCATTATATAGTAGAAAAGGATATACTTAAGTTTGTTTTGAGTTGTCATATGAATTTTTATGCAAGACTTTTGTGCTCTAATATAAGCTTCAGATGAAATGTGTATATAATAGGATATAGAGATCTATCTGTGTGTGCTTAGAGTACTTCATGTGCTTCCAAAGACTTCTTATACTTAGGATTATAGCTCTGCTTTTTCTGGTACGGTCATCTAAATTTCTCCACAGCTTGTTCCTTTTTTTTTCTGGGGCACTGAGAACATTTTTGTGATTATACAACTTATTCTTCATGTGACAGTGTTTGTTTTTTATTGTAGCCTTGGTCATCTAGTTGTCTGATGGAATAATTTAATCTTCTGTGCTTCACAAATACTTGGCACTAAAGTGGCCTTTGTTCTCTCTCTAGCGTTCTAGTAGCCAACAATTTGTTGATGGACCCCCTGGGCCTGTAAAGAAAACTCGTTCCATTGGCTCCACAGTAGACCAGGTAAAAAGGATCAGGCCAAGAGAAGGGTGTTCTTGAATACATCAGAGATCAGTGGCCCCGAGCATTAAAATGGCTAAGTCCACATTGCAGTATTATGTTTAGAGAGGTGTTTTATGAGAGTTTGTCTATGTAATAAGATCCTATCATTCATATGAGTAGAATTGCTCTGATAAACAGCTGTCAGCTGTATGTTTGAGTCTTTATTGCTTAATATATCTATCCCTGTGACCTATATTTATATTTTTAAAAATGAGATTTCAACTTGAGAATGTTTGGAGCTGTGGCCATAAGACAGATTAAGGAATTTTTCACACTCTAAAATATTCTATAATGGAAAGTCGGAGTTGATGTTCATCCTTGTCTCATTACTAATTTTATTCCAGGGGAATGAATCCATAGTTGCAAAAACTACAGTGACTGTTCCCAGTGATGGTGGGCCCATTGAAGCCGTGTCCACTATTGAGACTGTGCCGTATTGGACCAGGAGCCGAAGGAAAACAGGTCTTTTGAACTTGTGATTAAATTGCCTGTGTGAACTCATAGTAAAATTTGAGAGTTGGTTTCTTAGAACCTTCTTGAGACAGGAATTGGTTGTAATGGGTAGTTTCTTACTGCTGCCTTCTGAGGACCAGAGATCTCTGTCCTTCTGTACCTTCAGGTTGCTAGCCTGATCTGTGCTACAAATGGATTAAGTAGTTTCTCTCTCTCTTTTTTGAAATAGGGTCTCACTGAGTGCAGGCTGGCCTTGAACTCCCAGTGTAACCCAGGCTGGCCTTGAACTTGAGGCAATGCTCTTCCTGCCTCAGCCTCACGAGTGCTGGGATTATGGGCGTGTGGCACCACACCTGGCTACTAGTTTCTCTTGAAACTGCATATTTGCATACCTATGGGAATTCACTTTGGCTTTTGGATACAGATTAATGCTTACCCACTAGTTGTGTTGCAACTGGGGCTAAAACTCAAATGGAACAAAATCCTTAGAAGTTTAATTTTGCTAGGTACTTTACAACCTTGGAACAGTGACTCCACCCTGAGCAGCAGGCCACTGGAGCCCAGAACAGAGACAGGCACCTCAAGCACACCACAGAGCAATGGAGGGATGCGTCTGCATGATTTTGTCTCTAAGACGGTAAATCTGTGATTGCTGCATATTCTTTCGGACACATTTAAGTTTTTTTAATGGTGAAAGTAGTATATACTGGGAGTAAATGTAAATTCTGTAGTGTTATAAAGTTACGAGTTGAATTCCCTTCCTGCTTTCAATCCTACTCTCCAGAGGTAATTATTGGTTACAGAAGTATGTATCTTTCTATTCTGTGAATAATGCTAAATTAAAGACAGTAGTTTGCACTTTTTAGTGATACATGCTTACATTTTATGCCTGAATATAGCATCTTATGTTTTCAAAACATTTTAACTTTGTAAATTTGATTTCCTCCTAAAAAATCAAGCAAACTAACGTTCATAGGAGTTAATTCACTTGTTAGATCTATGTGATAATAAGTAGCAAATTTATCATCCAGGCTTTCTGATTCCTTGTCAACAAATTTTCACTCCTCTACCATGCTATCTTCCAGCTGGATGGCCTTAGGCAAGTTATTTCCTTTTGCTTCAGTTTTCTTATCTTAAAATGAAGAAAATAAAACCTTTATAGATTTTTGTGAAAATTACATAAATAACTGTGTGTCAAGGACTCAGGAGTAGTTTGGTGTATACTCAGTGCTCATTACATGTTGGTTGATGATGACAATTTTATAATTCCTACTATTCTCTTTCTTCTGCCCTGTTCTGTTCTAAGGTTATTAAACCTGAATCCTGTGTTCCATGTGGGAAGCGGATAAAATTTGGCAAGTTGTCTCTAAAGTGTCGAGACTGTCGTGTGGTCTCCCATCCAGAATGTCGGGAACGCTGTCCCCTTCCCTGCATTCCTACTCTGACAGGAACACCTGTCAAAATTGGAGAGGTATGACTCCCGGAGCTGTCATGTTGTGATTTCTTTAGCTTTTCAAAGGCTTTGTGTCAAGTTTGCTTTGTGGTTTTGGTGGTACTGGGGGTTGAACTCAGGGTCTTCACACTGAACCACATCCCCATCTCCTTTTTAACACTTTTTTTTTTTAAACTTTGAAACAGGGTATCACTAAGTTGCTTAATTGCCCAGGCTGGGCTTGAATTTTCAATCTTTCTGCCTCGGCCTCCCAGAGTACTGAAATTATAGGCATGTGCCACTGTGCCCATCTTCAGTTTTTGTTCTAAAATTACTGATGCCAAATATGTTTCCCTCCATGAACAATGAATAGAAATTATAAAATGTTGACCTATAGCCGAATTGTATTTGGGTTTGTTTAATAACCTTTCTAACCAAACTCCCTCCACTCCTATCTCTTTACTCCTCTTCCTTTATTCCCTCTCCTTTCTCCTTTCCTTTCCTTCCCCCCCTTTTTTTTTTTTTTGGTACCGAGGATCGAACTCGGATCCTCCGGCTTGCAAGGCAGGTGGCGGAACCACTGAGCTAAATCCCCGGCCCTCCCCTTTTCTGATTTTCTCCTCCCTCCCATCCTAACCTATTGTGGGAAATTTCAGACATATACATAAGTAGACTGGTTAATATAACTAACCCTTGGTTCCTGTCACTTAACTTCCATGATTTATTAACTTATGTCTATTATTTTTAGACTTTTGAGACGTGGTCTCTCTCACTGTGTAGCCCAGGCTGGCTTCAAACTTGCAGCAATCCTCCTGCCTCAACCTCCCAAGTGCTGGGATCACAGGCGTGCACCGTCCCACCCAGCTCTCAGGACCATTGTTGACTTATCAATTCTTTTTTCTTCCCCCCAACTCCCAGGCCACTGAATTATTTTAATGCAAATCCCTGCAATCATATACTATCATCTGTGAATATTTTTTCTCTTATGCTAGAGGTATTCCAAACAAGGGTATCAAGATTAGGTTATTGGAGCTGGTCACTGTAGCATATCTATAATCCCAGCATTTAAGAGGCTGAGGCAGGAGGATTGAGTTTTGAGGCCAGCCTGGACTCTACATAGTGAGACCCTGTCTTAAAAAAAAAGTTATGATGTCCCAACCTGAGTATTATTAGTCTGGAGGGTGATATTTTGGGTGTGGAAGGTGGTAGTGGGAGTTGAACCAAAGGCCTTGCACATTCTAGGCAAATGCTCGGCCACTGATATGTATCCCCAGCCCTTGGAGGTGGTTGTTCACACATGACCTTTCTCTGTTGGTCTAAGTGGTGTAAACAATAATTTAAAGCTCTTTTTTTCAGGGAATGCTGGCTGATTTTGTGTCCCAGACTTCTCCAATGATCCCTTCCATTGTTGTCCACTGTGTAAATGAGATTGAGCAGAGAGGCCTGACTGAGGTAAGAGTCAGCCCTGGGACAGGGTGAATTTGTTATTTGTGTTAATAATTATGAGATTCTTAAAAATGTTATCTGATAACAGACAGGCTTATATAGGATCTCAGGCTGTGACCGGACAGTAAAAGAACTGAAAGAGAAATTCCTCAGAGTGAAAACTGTACCCCTCCTCAGCAAAGTAGATGATATCCACGCCATCTGCAGCCTTCTGAAAGACTTCCTTCGAAACCTCAAAGAACCCCTTCTGACCTTTCGGTTAAACAAAACCTTTATGGAAGCAGCAGGTAAGGGCAAATCTTAATACTTGAGTCTATGTTCCACCAGGGCTGGAATATTTCACTCTTTTTCTTCCTCTGTCCCCTGCCCAGGACAAGTGCCTAAAATATAGTAGATGTTCAGATAGTTTGATGGATGGATATTGTTTATGTGTCCTCATGCCTGTTCACTTTCTAAACTGTGTAAGGAATTAACAAGACTATTTTATTATTGCTGCTCTTGTTTTTGGTCAAGTTTTAGGTTGCTTTTTTGAAGTTAGAACCATCTTTGACTTCTTCCCCACACTCCTGTCTGATCCATTGTCAAATCTTGTCTGCAGTCTTATAACGTGTATTTTAAGTTTGATATATTTTGGTGGGGTAATAGAAGTACAACTACTCCTTATGACCTGTTTCCCCCCTTGAATATGTAAGCACCTGCTAGCTGATTGCCCTGTTTCTATTTGTGTCCTTTATAATATGTTCATACAGAAGCTGGAATGGTCCTTTTAGAATGTAAGTTTGATGCTGTCCCTTCTGTTCTTAGTATTCTCCATTGTCTTCTCATCATTCTCATAATGAAGTCCACAGGCTTTAACATGGCCCAAAGACTCAGCACAGTTTAGCTTCTGTTATATCTCTAGCACCATCAGCACCTTTCTCCTCACCTTCCAGTTATCCTGGCATCGTGCACTTATTAGACTATATTGAGCTTTCTTCCCACCTAGAGTCCTTCACAGTTGCTATTGTCTCAGCCTTGGTTGCTCTTCCACTGAATAACTGTGGTTTACTCCTTTCTTTCTTTTTTTTTTTTTTTTTTTACCAGGGGTAAAACCCAGGACCTTGTGCTTGCGAGGCAGGCGACAGAACCACTGAGCTAAATCCCCGGCCCTACTTCTTTATTTCTTTCAAGTTTTTCTTCCGATATCTTGTCCTCAGAAATACCTTTCATGATCACCTTTTCTAAAATAACAGTTCCCATTACTTTCTAGCTTCTTGCCTGCCATATATTCTTTTTTTTTTTTTTTTGGTACCGGGGATTGAACTAGGGACCTTGCGCCTGCGAGGCAGGAGGTGTCACCACTGAGCTAAATCCCCGGCCCTCCTGCCATATACTCTTAGTTATATATATATATCACTACCTGAGATATATTTGTGTTTTGATTAACTCCTCCAATAGAATGTATGTTCTGTGAGGCAATGACTTTCTGTTTTCTTTATCCTCAACATTTAGAATACTGCCTGGTACACAGTACAGTAGGCCCTTAAACATGTCTTATCAATGAGTACCTTCTTGGTAATTGCCACTGGAGTTGTCTGTCTTTTCTTCCTAGCAGATCGGTTACCAGCTGTTTTCCCTAACTGTAAGTGTGATTTTGTAAAAAGTTCTGACTTCTAATATTGAGCTGTTGGCCAGTGTTCTGCTTGTTAATGAAACTAGAGTCTGAAGCAGTCATGAACCTAATCAGAAGTTTCAGAAGCATACTGTATAGATGAGACTTTGTGGTCGATATCTTGGAAGGCCGCTGTCAAGGAAAAGAAGTCTAGACCTCTTGGTGCTCTCTTTTCATTTACAGAAATCACAGATGAAGACAACAGCATAGCTGCCATGTACCAGGCTGTTGGTGAATTGCCCCAGGCCAACAGGGACACATTAGCCTTCCTCATGATTCACTTGCAGAGGTGAGTACAGCAGAAGCTTGCTCTGGGAGTTAGAGAGTTTTCCAAGGAGAAGATCATGTGGGATTGGTATTAGGGAGTGTGAGAGATGAATTGTTTTCTTGTAGAACTTATACTTGGTCTGCATTTAAGTGGAGGAGTAGATCTTTAATTTAATACTCTTTTGCTTAGAGTGGCTCAGAGTCCAAGCACTAAAATGGATATTCCCAATCTGGCTAAAGTCTTTGGCCCTACCATAGTCGCCCATGCTGTACCCAATCCAGACCCAATGACAATGCTACAGGACATCAAGCGTCAACCCAAGGTAGGAGTGTGTGTCTGTGTGTATGGACCTGAGCAGTGTGATAACATAAAAGAATGATGAAAAGTAAGTGTTGAGATTTGGAAGTTTGCAAATACATTTGGTGATCTTTAGGTGGTAGAGCGCCTGCTTTTACTGCCCCTGGAATACTGGAGTCAGTTCATGATTGTTGAACAAGAGAACATTGAGCCCCTGCAGGTCATTGAAAACTCAAATGGATTTTCAACACCACAGACGCCAGATATTAAAGGTCAGATTTAAGTTGTGCTTCTTTGGGAACTTGTCTCTCTTTAGTTATGTACTGTATTCTTTTCCTTGTCTTTGCTGTAGTACTGTTTAAAACTCATATTCTATAATAAAAGTTAAATCTATCTTGAAAATTCCAACACTAAAGGAAAATTTGTATAGTCTCACCATCCTAATTTTTTTACTTTTCCTTCTATCCCTTTATTTATATGCATGTATTTCGTTTTATTTTTGGTGGTGCTGGGGATTGAATGCAGAGCCTCGTGTATTCTAGGAAAGCAGCCTACCACTAAGCTATATTTCCAATCCCTGGATTTACATCCTTAATGTAGATAATAGTAGTTTAGATATAATTTGTTCTTATTTCACTTAGAGAATTCACTTATGAGAGTTATTTTTCTGTTATTGTATGATCTTTTGAAAAGTATATGTGGTACTGGGGATTGAACCCAGGAGCACACTAATGCTAGGGAAGTGCTGTACTACTGAGCTATATCCCAAGCCCTTTTCTTTTCTCTTTCTCTTTTTTTCTTGTCTCTTTTCCTTTTCTTTATTTTTTTTTACATTTTGAGACACAATCTCACTAACTTATCTAGACTGGCCTCAAACTTGTGATCTTACCTCATTCCCTGAGTATGTGTAATTATAGGAATGCATCTGCTACTATATAATCTTTTTTTTTTTTTGGTACTGGGGATCGAACTCAGGACCTTGTGCTTGCAAGGCAAGCGTGGGCACCACTGATCTAAATCCCCAACCCTGCTACTATATAATCTTAACACTTTAATGGTTGTAAATAATAAGTTACCTAAGTGTTCTGATAATTGACATTGCTTTCAATTTTTCATGGTTACAAATAATGCTGTAGCCAACATTATATAGATATACCCTAATGATAAATTCGCAAGAGTGGGAATCACTAAATTAAAGGACTTAGCACATTCATGACGGGGCCGTAGTAATTCATATGTCTCACTGCCAGGTAGCTTGAACCACCGGTGGTACACGCGTGACTGTACCATTTCTACCACTAGTGGTAAAGGCTGCCAGATGGAATAGTCATGCATGTGCCACCAGTGGTTCAAGCTGGCAGGAACACGTCAGTCATTTTTATGTTTCTTGATATTTTACCAATTTGATTTCTTAAAGGCTTTTTGCCTATGTTGTCACCAATAATTTGTATGAATATAAGGTATTTTCATTCCAGCGTCACTGCTATTAGAGACCCATTTTCTCATTAGTGCAAGTTCCTTTTAAAGGAAGCATATTATTTCTTCTAGTATAAAAATTAAATATTTATATGTCAGCTATGCAAAGTTTGGTGTTTAAAAATGGTGGAAGTGAGCAAGTGAATGTCAGCTGCTGTTGAGTAGTTGCCTTCATAGCTCACAGGAGACACCAGATGCCACAAAATGACAGAAATGATCTGTGGGACTGCCCTAGTTTAACCCTAGCAGTTTGACCACAGCTGTCGTGTACTTCAGAAGGTAGGCAGTTTAGGGCTGGCCATTGCCGGGTGTGGTGGCGCACAGCTGTAATCCCAGTGCTTGGGAGGCTGAGCCAGGAAGATACCACCCGGAGCTCAAGGCCAGCCTGAACTGCATAGTGAGACCCTGTCTCAAAAAACAAACAACTGGCCATCTTCAAGGGTAATTTCTTTTCCCCCTTCTCTTAAAAATATGTCTGAACTTTGCTTGTTTGAAGTGAGCTTACTGGGGCCTGTGACCACTCCTGAGCACCAGCTTCTCAAGACTCCTTCTTCAAGCTCCCTGTCACAGAGAGTTCGCTCTACCCTCGCTAGAAACACCCCCAGGTATGTAGAACTGGCTTTCTCTGTAAATAACATTTACTACTTTCTTAGACTTCTTTCCTAGCATGTTAGAAGTTTAGTGTAACAAAAATCAGACTGGATCTTAGGCTAGCAACTAGACTTTAAAAGGAAGCTTGGAGCCATGAGTCCCTTTCTTAAGTCTTTACTACTTCCCCTGTCTCATTTCAGGTAAATAAGAATGCCTTAAAATAGTTGTCTAGGATTTCCTACTTGTAGTTGATTATGTCAAATAGCATACTTGTTTTTTCATCATTTTTTATAGGTTCGGGAGCAAAACCAAGTCTGCCACCAACCTAGGACGACAAGGCAACTTTTTTGCTTCTCCGATGCTCAAGTGAAGTCATGCCTGCCTATTACTTCCCAGCATTTACCAACTGCAAGAAGGGGGCACACCTGTCCTCTGCTCTGCAGCCTTCTCTCCTCATTACTACTTATAGCATTCTCCAGGCTTTTTAATCAAGTTTAATTGTGCGTGGGAGTTTTATTGAAACTATATATATATATATATATATACACACACACACACACACACACACACACACGTCCCTTTCTTTCTCTTCCAGTAATATAATATCAGCACCTTGTGCTGGTTGTCATTTGGAGCTTTTAGGTTGGAGATCTTTACACAATAGAGGGGTAATGTAGAATTTGTTCTGATTCTTTTTGGGGTGGAGGGCATCCCTTTGGCCTAAAGCCAAATGCTGCTTGTGTAATGGCTTTTCTCTTGTGTCACTGAGAATTCTCATGAGACAATGACAAATTTTACTTCTTTGGTAAGACTGACTTGTCACAGGATGGGAAGTGGGAGGGCAGGTAAAGAAAGGATTTAAGAGGAGATCAGTGTGGCTCCTCTTCAGAACTTAGGATTTCCCTCCCCCATTATGTACTGAGCTATATAGTATGGAGTCTTCATAAGAGATAGGTGGAGGACAGAACTAGTGATGGGGGTATGCTTAGCTTTAATTTGGTTTGATTAGGTCATAGTAGTGTAAAATGGCACAGCCTTCTAAATGTGATACTCCAAGTAATGTTTAACCTCTAATGGACTTCTGGCTGGACTTTTGGGTTGATTGGGGTCAAAGCCATTTTGTTCTTCAAAGTTGAATTCATTCTGATGATTGACCTCCCACTCCTTGTCCAGTTGAGCCCTGTTTCTAAAGGTCAGTATGTTGTCTGTGTGGCATCTCACTAACAAGAGTAGCTGTAAAGTAAGATTATCAGTATTTCATGTGGCAAGAAAAGTCAGTCATTTTTGTCTTTGCACTTTGGATGCTGAAATTTTTCTGTGGAACATAGCCACAGCTAGATAAATGTGAGTATCTTCTGTTAGAATTATTCCTAATGTCTGTAAAAATGGTTTTCTAATATAGACTATTTCTGACTCAAATTAGCCCTGTCTGTAAGACACTTATTTAGAATTATATTTGGGAAAAAATAAAGAGCTTTTTCAAAATGAATGTGAAGTTGGTTTTCTTGTCCTGGACAGTAACTTTCAATGCCCTTTTAGAAAACATCTTCCTTCAAAGTATTTTGAGTCTGTTGTTCATCTCCATTTCCTGCTTCATGGACCCAACCCAGCCTTACCACCTTCAGGAATATGTTTCTCTTTTTTTCATTCATTTCTCTCTGTCCAAATTGGAGTCCTAGATTTGTCCTAAGATTGTTATTCTCTTGTTTGAAGAGAGTACTTTAAACAAAAAGCAAACTTTAAACTAGTCTTTGGAGACCACAATGGTGCAGATTAAAAAAGAAAAAAAAATGCTGCTGGCTGGCTGGCTGCCTGGAACATCCTTCACTGCTGGAAGTGACTCTAGAGTGAACTGGGATGATTAACTGAGGGCACCTGCACTTGGAACTCTGAAGCTGGTGAGCAGAATGTATCTGAGATTGAACGTAAACAGTTGCAGGCTTAATATGTAGCTGTGGAGAGAGGAGGCAACCTGCTGGCTTTTTTCCCAGGAGGGGGCAGCTTTCACAGCAGGGCCCATCTGCCTCAGCAAATTGACAGAGGATGGGTCCCACCTCCCCGCACCCTCCTGCACATACATCCTTCTAGGCTTTATTTTTTTTAAACTTTGTCCTCCGCGCTACCTCTTTTCCTATGTCTTTGGGAGCCTCAAATTGGCTTGGCTCCATATTTGCTGTTCTATCGTTATCTCCCCAAGGTGCATTTAAAGTCACTAATGTAGAAGAAGTAAATGGATTGTTCATCGTTAGTTAAGGCAAGACTATCCTACACAGGAGTTGATGGCCCATTAACGAAAGGGGAAATGGTCCTGTGTGCTAGTGTTGGCAGCCAGTTGCTTATCTGGGGGGCTAGGCCGAGAGACCTTAGCCATGAAAATAATTCTGATGTTAGCAAAGGGAAATATGTATCCCCTTTCAACTTTAACAGTACTTCATGTGGAACAACTTGGATTTCAAGGGCTTCCTAAATTAAATTACTTTTCTCCAGTGTGAAATCCGTGGAAAGGGTTCCAGTGCTTTGTGGTGACAGTTTCCTCATCTCTTGATCCTCTTAACACTGCCTCTCCACCTTTGATGCAGTTTATTATTTCACTTGCTAATAATGGCAATCTTAACCCTTAATGTTTACCTCCATTCTCCTCAGTCTATGTAAGGCTCCTGACTTTGGTGTTTATATAAGTAGGCAAGCATTATATGGTTTGATTCAGTAGCAACAATTCATGTTTATTACTGAGTGTTTAACAATTTTTCCTTATATAGGTGAATTCATTGGGCCTAGAGGTACATACCTGTAATCTCAGCTGTTTAGGAGGGTGAGGTGGGAAGGTGTAATCGCTAGGCCAACCTAGGCAATTTAGAGAATTAGTAGAATCCTGTCTCAGAATCAAAAACAAATCAAAGGACTGGGGATGTCACTCAGTACACAGGCCCTGGGTTCAATCCCTAGTACTGCAAACAGATTAATGTAAGAGGAACTGAGGATGTAGCTCAATGCTCCCTGGGTTCAAAGCCCATTACTGAAAAAAAAAAAAAGATGGATTCTTCATTGTGTGTTGGTGACATACACCTGTCATCCCAGCACTTAGGAGGGTGAGGCAGGATCACCACAAGTTCAAGGCCAGCCTGGGCTACATAGTGAGTTCAAGGTCATCCTGAACTATGTAGTGAGACTCTCAAAAAAAAAGCCAGAGGGGATCTCAGTTTTGATCAGAGGACATTAGGTTGTGCAGTTAATTTACTAGGGGAGAAAAGTCATTTTTGGTTAGGAACTGAGCCTGTGGCTATGAAAGGGTCTTGCATTCTTAAATTCATGCTTAAATTATTGGGCAGCACAAAATGACATGGGGAGATGGGTGAGTGCAGGGAGAAAAGGGTTTTTTTCCTTTATGAAATATTCAGAATAATTTTTTTTTTTTTTTTTTTGGTACTGAGGATCAAACTCGGCTCCTTGCACTTGCACAGCAGGCGGCAAAACCACTGAGCTAAATCCCTGGCCCCAGAATAAATTTTGATTAAGTTTACAATTGCTGGGCATGATGGCATGCGCTTGTAATCCCAGCACTCAGGAGGCTGAGGCAGGAGGATCACCATGAGTTTGAGGCCAGTTTCCTGGGATACACAGTGAATTCAAGGCCAACCTGAACTACATAGCAAGAACCTGTCAAAAAAACAAAAAATAGCCGGGCGTAGTTGTGCATACCTATAATCCCAGCACTTGGGATGTTGAGGCATGAGGATCACCATGATTTCGAGGCCAGCCTGGACAACATAGCAAGATCCCTCCAAAAAAATCTATAATTAACAGTCAAATATTTAGGGACATAATGTATTAAATTGTGTAAACAGTACAGAATGCTAGGTAGTAGTAAGGAAATGTCAACTGGCCCGTAAAGGTAAAAGATGAATGAACAGGGCCTTAAACTGAGCATACTTCCTTATGTGTCCCCATACACAAAAACTCCCTGAACATTAAGGATTTCACTCACTCTAATTGACAGCTGGGCTACATTTCCTGACACCCTGACCCTGTAGTTAACCCCAAAAGGGTTAAACTTCCCACTATGTGGTGTGATTGAATATATGGTATGATAAAAAAAAAATTGGCAAATTTAAAAAAATTATTACAATAAAAGACACATTGCCATTAATTCTCACTTACTTTTTTTTTTGTACCAGGGATCGAACTCGGGTCCTTGCACTTGCGCAGCAGGCAGCGAAACCACTGAGCTAAATCCCTGGCCCAAATTCTCCCTTACTTTGAACATATACCTTATTGTTCTTGCCACTTTCTGAAGCAGTTCTGGAAGTCCTTTTTTTGTGAGTGTCTTCAGTTGTGCTGGTATGGCTGCCTCAATCTTAGTCAGTGCAAAATGTTTATTTTTCACGGTCATTTTGACTTAGGGGAAGAAACAAGTCATACAGTACCAGATTTGATGAATAAGGCAGATGAGGACACCTTGTTTTTCTAAGCCTGCCTTTGCATTGGATGGCTCTTGGCAGCAGCATTCACCACATCCCTAAGCACAGCTTGTAAAGACACGAAAGGACTTCTAGAATGCTTCAGAAAGTGGCAAGGACAATAGGGTAAGTGTGTTCAGATTGAGGGGGAATATTGTGAGGGTTTAATAGCAATGTGGCTTTTACGGTAGTAAATTTTAAAAACTTAAACATTTGATCTATATTTTCATCATACCTCAAAAGATACCAGAAAAGGTCCTCAGGACATAAAGTTCATACTTCTGGCTGGGAACCCACTGTGTGGGAAAAGATAAGTACTGAAGCAGCTGGGCCATTCCAGCCTTTAATCCCTTCCAGCCGTTTTCCCACTGGCAGCTGTGACACCTACAGAAGGTGGCCATTGGCTCCCCTGCAGAGTGGGCTAAAGGTACATGAGGTGTGAGGATGCTCGAATTTGGGGTGTGGTTCTACAGTGGAGTCACCATTCTCCAAGGAAGCTGCTCCCTGAAGCACATCACTCACTTTCTTCACCTCTGGATACTTCTGGTTTGTTATCTTGTGGATGATATGTGTAGAAAGGCAAGTGTACTTCCTGCATGGTCAGCCTGTTCCTACAACTGAGGCAGAAGAGCAGCACTGCTCTGTCTTGCTGATTCTGTTTTATGGTAGGGCCTACCTGCCCCTCGAGCTTCAGGTAGATGATACATATAGATTAGTACCCCTGCCCTCAGTAGCACCTGAAACCATGGATAGTACTGATCCCTATATATACCCTGTTTTTGTATACACACACATACACACACATTTATATATGTGTATATATATATTTCCATGACACATTTTTATTTATAAATTAGGCATAGTAAGGGGATAACAAAACAATTATAGCTATACTATAATAAGTTATATGAGTGTAGTCTCTAAAAGTAGAAGCTTTGTTTTTGAGTGTGTGGGTCTGCACATTACTACTGGCTTTATCATATTACCTACAGCATTGCCACACAATACCAGAGTTAGCACATTTTCATCAAAGTTGAAGGCCTTCTGTGGATGGTGTCTTTCTCTTTAACCAACTTCAATTCTGCTGGGATGTGGCAGAAGCTTCTTCATTGGCAGGCACAGCTTCTCCAATAATTTTTATACTTTTAGTTCAAACCTATTCCTAAACCTGTTTAACCACCTCTTACTTGGTGAAAAAGGCTCAGTATCTCTAGTTTTGGGATTCCTTGCTGAAGTCTGCCCAAAGGCTCCATGCTTTCTGGTGCAACACATTACTGTCAGTTGAGCATGTTTTCTGTTCATATCTTCTGCCCATAAATTTAATGACTTCTCCATCTCTTTTGTTGAGGTGCTGGTATTTAACCCAAGGCCTCATTCATGGTAGGCAAACTTCATATTAACCAAGTGCCTTTGGCACACATTTGTAGTTAGAGGTGTGACAGCAAAACACACATATTTCTTTTTCCTCCACGGTTTCAAGGATTTATTCTTACTGTAGAGCTTAGCAACTTCAGCATATGAAATTTTTCTTTTTTTATTAAGAACTTTTATTTTTTCATTTAGTTGGGATTTTTTTTTTTTTTCGAAACGGGGTCTTGATATGGCTTTAAATCTACTATGTAGCCAAGGTTGGCCTCGAACTTGCAATGATCCTCCTGCCTCAGCTTCCTTAGTGCCGGGATTGCCGGCATGCACCACCATGCCTGGCTCATCTTTTCATTTAAAGGAAACATTTTATGGCTTTTCTTTGACATAGCTAAATTGCCAGCATGATTACTCCTGCATTTTATGGCCATTATAAGTAATGTAAGGGTTACTTGAACACGAGTGCTGTGACACTGTGACAGGCCATCTGACAAGTAACTAACAGGTAGCATATACAGTGTGAATATACTAGACAAAGTAAATAATTCATGTCCCAGGCAGGACAGAGCAGTACAGCATTACAATGGTCCACAATTTAAACACATTTTTATATCTGAAATTTTCCATTTGCTATTTTGATATTTTTGGACCGTGGTTGGGG